GCCTTATCCCATTGGTAAAATATCGTCCCTGAAGACATGACGGTGACGGCGTCGCCATGCATGGCATTGCTGCACCAAATTATGGAACTGAAATATTGCAGAGGAATATGAAGTCGCTATTATAATATCGGTGGAAGAAAAACTATTGCTTTGTACCAGCGATGTTTTGATCTTCAGCTGTCACTATTTCTAGAGTTCAGGAACCTGCTTCGTCACTTTATTTTCTTCGACAGATGTGCCTACCAGTTAATTCAGTGAAAAAGGCTGTCGCGGTGTCACCAGACATTCCGATTATTGCAAATGGCCATTCATTCCAAAACCTTAGTTGTGAAACATGTCACTGAACAGTGCATTTCTGATATTAAATATTGGTATTGAATAAATGCAAAACAGATGTGTTTCTTACTTGGTATCGGTTTTCGTTGTATGTCTAAAAGCCACCGCTTTTAGCAGTCAACTCGTTGCAGCTGAGGCACTCAACGGAGTCAGTCGACCGAGATCGTTTCAACCACCAGCAGCTAAAGTCTAGCGTCGAGTTGGAGCGATACTTTTGCTGCTTGGTCTCTCTTTCGCCTTCCAGTTCAGCGCTTGGTACAAGGCAGTTAAGCATGAGTACCGATTCGTTGCTCAGCATCGATTCACTATTGTTGGCCAACATCGATGCTGCCAGTTCTTCTCACTGTTCCCAGCAGTCGTACACGCCTGACGTCTATCGCAAGCCGTTGTCTGGAGGTAGCTTTGACGCTGTACAGAAGGCCATGGCAGCCGTTCGCAGCAGCGGTGGAAAAAGCGCAAAAAGTTTGCTTCAAAATTAACTTATGATATTTTATAATAAAGAACCAAAAATTGAAATAATTAACTTTTTGTCCCAGTAATTGATACAGGTCAGCCACGCACAGCTGATTTGAACTGCATCTTTTAACCTCGTAATTAGATGATTGTCTTAAATTAGCCGAAGTTTAACATAAAAACCGGGTCACTCATTCATAATTCTACCATGCCTAGTTTTTGACACTTATTGCGGACTTTCATTTTACGTAAATTGCATTATGCCTCCTGATATCGATTAGCAGCTTTACAAACCTAGTGATTCTTTTAGCATAACTGCACGCACTTCGCTTTCTAGAGTTCGGCGTTGTATAGTGACTTTGTTTTCCGAACGTTATTTTTCATACATACCAAGGTTATGAATTTACGCACCTTTTACCAAAGCAAATGGCCTGGGAGTAATATAAAATGCTCCTTTATTTTGACTTTACTCTCAGTGCAATTTGCTGCAAATACCGTAACATTATCAGGTCTATTCATGTTAATGAAGCCGAAATTCTGGAATAAGATGGCGGAGTTTTTTACGTCACGTCATAGTCATTTACATTAAGAAAAGGAAGGAGATATGCTATTTGATAAGCTTTATAAAATCACTGTTGGATTCTGCAGAATCAGTAAATCCATTCAGGCCTCTGATAATATAATAACTTTCCTTAGTCCTGCCTCTAATTGGAAGTACATTTCTAATGCATATTCTTCTTTTCGATCCATGGCATAAAACTCAGAAGGACTGTCAAAAAATGTGGGATGCTAACTGTGAAGTCGCAGGTTTCATACGGCCTTTGTAAATACAGCCAGTAGATGCGGCATGTAACTAACATAACTAAAACTTTTCGGTGGAATTGTCGAAGATTGACCGGTTCTTAACCGACTTCACGTAAATGTGTTCAGACTTATAGGCTGATAAT